CGCAAGTAAAAGTTGCCTTGAGCTTTTAAAGGTCAGCTGTATTGTAAAAGTGAGGTGTGATTCAAATCAATGCTATGACAAAGAGAACTCCCGAGAGAAGGGAATGAGAGACGAGACACAAACTAAGCTCAGTGCCCATTGCCAAGTGGTCTCGTATGTGTTGTGCTTAAGTAATTGCTGTTCTTTCTCTCCATGTGATTGTAGACAAAAGAAACAAGCTGGCAGATGGGAAATAGCACTGCAAGTCCTCCAAGTGTCATCTTCACGGTGAGAAAAAGCAGACAACATCCGGGAATTGAAACGGAGAGCAATCACTCTAACCTGCTGGAAATCACTATCTTGCAGCACAGAAGATTCTTGTCCACACAAAGTTTAGGTAGATTCATCCATTTAGTGGTTATTAATTTGCAAATTAGGTTAGCTTTGCAATTATTTCTAGTTCTTTCATGTACTGAAATTGCTGTTTCTACTCTAATAAAGACAATCTTCTTGCAATCTGAACTTCTTTTGAGTTATTGTGATATTGTTACTGAAGTTTGGCTTTAATCGGGCAGGTCACAGGGCCTGTGGGTGGGTGGCTGCAGCTCCATCTCCGATTCCTTCTTCCTCCTCTTGCTGGCAGGAGCCCTGAATATGGAAGTGGCAGCATCCTCAGACTGGGGAATACAAGAGTGACTTGTGTTTCCAACTGTAACAGCTCTGCACTCTGAAGAGCAGTGGCACTGAGCTGTTAAGAGACTCTGATAAGAAGCAAGAGCTGGGAGATGGTTTTTTAGGGTAAAATATAAATCTGCTAAAATGGCCTGAAGATAACTCCTACAGAGGCAGAGAGGAGTGAGAAGCACTTGTGAGATTTCTTCACTCACTTTCCCAGTTCATACAGAGGAAATAAACCTTTAGCACCAATTTTAGCCACCTTCATTCTCATGCCATTGGAAGGACATTATCCTGGCCAAAATCCTAAATGGAGTCACTTCTAGTTCAGGCCCCCAGAAATCAGCAATTTCATTTCCAACCATCTCTTGGCAAGGCTACAACCAAGGAACCTTTTCAGGGTTTGTGCTAAAAGCAAATCACGGCTATAGCCTGACTACCACATCCCCACCTCCCACTACTGCAAAGGGCACAAAGCTCGTCAGCTGAAGGTGACACTAACAGGACAGTCACGCCCAGACTAGAAGTGCCCCAGCACTGCGCTCCCCCAGAGGGGACCACGTCACATTTCGGGGAGACACCACCAAATCCTTTAGCACATCTCTCCTTGGACTTGGGAGAGAATAATTATGTCACCCTTGCTCATAACTAGTTTACAGATTACTGCTGAGTTTGCACAGCGAGGAGCATCCCAAAGCTCTGGGCCTCCTCGGGCAAGGTCAGGGAATCCTCTTCAACCAAGAGGCACCGGCCCTTGGGTTTGGTTCAGCGGTGACTCAGGTGACCTTCAACATCAGCTGTCAAACCCTGACAGACAATCCCAGCTCAGCCTCTGGAAATCCAGCACAATAGTGTCAGGCAGTGGCTTCACTATGACTGGAAAAAACTGTATTTTGCCCCATATTTGTAGGGTAATGAAGGATTTCTGGTGAAATGTTTAATATAAAATCACTTACAGACTATAATTCTAGAGTTTGGTTCAGTAAAAAGTGTTTTCTAAAGGTATGTAATGCCTGAGCGAGGGTTTTATCAGCAAGACTGAGATGGTAAACAAGCTGCTTCTTGACTGGAACTCTGTCCTCCTGAAAGGAGGGGCTGAAGTGTGTCAGCTCCGTTAATCCCATCACAGAAGTAACAACAGAGTTTGCACAACCTAGACATGTCAGGGAATGTCTTCCAGGAAAGCTCTGGGGAGGCACGACAAACCAAGGAGCTCATGCACCACACGTACAATGCTGAGTGCTGTGTGAAGGATGAAACCATCTGTCCAGATGTTGAATAAGAAATCTTAGAATGAACATAGTGAGAGCACAATAAAGGCATGAGCTTGAAACAAACAGCATTTTTTTTTTTCCACTTCAGCAGGTGATCAGCTTCAATTTCCTTGCATAGACTCTAAGGAGAAAATTTTGTAGACTGAAGGTCATGTTCTGGCTGCAGAAAAGATCTAAATGAAGAATGCACAGAGAACACAGATCTCTGCCAGTACAGAGACAGCGCCGATCTGAGGTGTTCCTTTACATTCCTAAGAGATTACGAAGCAGGAAGCATTCCAAACCTCGTGAATTCAGAGAAACAGAACTGATTTGGGTTTTTTTAAATGATAGATAAAACATAGGTAAAATGTAGAAATAATAATTGAAAAGGAGAATATGACTGCATGTAGAATTATACTCACCATTACTCAATGTTCATGAGTAAACTCTCGAAAGTGAAGCTGTTTTGACTTTAGGAAAGCACCTGGGAAGCAACTGATGCAAGCTGCAAATAAAGGATCCCTTACTGACCATCTCCAACCTTCACAGTGCTCCGCTGAGGCACCTTCCCTTCCATTCACCTTTCGTTTGACAACACTACTGACAATTTCTAGGAAAATAGTAGGGACTATTTTGAAGTAGCTGTTGAACAGGAAAGAACAAGCAGCAGAGGTGGTGAGGGCAGGGGTAAGCCTCAGCTCTGCAAGTGCTGCACTCCGCACTGACAAGCTTTTGATCATGGGGGACACACTCAAAGGATCTGAGTTTGAATCCCCATCACTATGGTTTCCTGAATTATGTTATTAGGACGTCATTAATCTGCAATGGCTGCTTGATTTGTTCTTAGTTTTCCCAATGGCAAATACTTTACAGGAAAGAAACAGCTTTATATCTGCTACCTGTTGTTTGAAAGTGTCCATCTGATAACAATCTAGAATAACGTACAGGGCACTTTAAAACCCCATAAAGTGCATTTCACCAGCAAGTTTCCCAAGAAGTTATAAAGACTGAGTGAAAAAAGATTGAACAAAAAAATCCCCAAAGTTTCCTCTTAAAGTTTATGGTGTTTTCTAGAAGTAATTTTGCCAGATTTTTATTTTTTTTTAATGGAATTTGATCTTGCTTATTGCGGGATCACTCAGAGTTAAACAGACCTGGCAGCGTGCACTCCTCGGGATATTTACATTACAGGGGGCTTAAAGAAACTTTTTTTATCTTTAGGAGAGTTTGTCTAAACTTGTTCCTGAGATACTGACTCTCGGAGATACAGAGATCTGGCAAGCTGCACAAAACCATTAATCTGCCCAACAGCAAAACTGAACTGCGGTGGCAAAAGGCCAGGTTCAGATTGAAACATGTCTCCACAACGGTGAAACACCCCGTCTTTCCTCATCAGCTGAAGAATGAGGGGATGTTCTCAGAACCAGGCTGCTAAGGTGCATAGCCCAGAGAGATTTGGGAGGTTTCTTTCCTCCCAAGTACACATCTTCCCTAGTGAAAAGGCTGCACGTGTCCCTGAGGCTGCATTAAAGTCTCAACTGTAAATTTCAGAAAACTCCTCAGTTTATTCCAGTATCTGGTATGAGCCCCAGTTTATCTGAAATCCCCCATCCTGAATTCTCAGCTCATTTTCTGTTGATAGGTCCTGTCAAAAACTGTGCTAAAGCCAATGCTCTCCTTACTGCCTTGTCAGCAAACATAGAATTTTTATTCTATTTCAAAGTTTTACTTTAAAATAATTTTGGTGGTTCTAAACTAGAGACCAGAGAAGGTTCCTGCCACCTTCACTTCGTCCTTGCTTTTCTCCCTCCTCTCAGCCCTCAGTTTCCTTAAACCATGATGCCCTCAGTGCCACTTCACTCTCATACCACAGCCCTGCTTCTTACAACCACAGCTCCTGGCTGGCACCTGAAGAATGTCACCTTGTTGTGCAAAGAGAATGGGGCTCTTTCTTCAAACCCCACGCTGTTTCCCCACCCCACACACATGCTGTCCCCGCTGACACACCCCAGCAGGGTAAACAAACAGTTAATACTTCCTTAAAAATCTCCCAAATCTGCTTTCTCATCATTCTGAGTGTTGAACTGAGCTGCAGTACTGAATTACAGCCCTTTGCGTTTCACCAGCAAATTATTAGATTGGGAAAAACATTGGTGTTTCAGACTCCCACGTTAAAGGAAGGTTTGATGTGACTCTTCTCAGTGCTTCTCACATCTTATTTTCAAGAATCACTTCATTTCTTAGTGCATGTTAGCATTAAACACATTTATTGCTATCTGAACATTTTGATCTTAAACCCAATTTGTTTATATTTTCTAAAAGTAACAGGAACTTAGGCCTCCCAATTTCTTATTTCAATTGAATTATTTCAATCCTGTATTACCTTTCTTGGCTGTTTCACAAGCATTAGTAAATTGACTGTGCCCACTCCTCCTTGTACACTGATGGACACTAACTGCTCCCCATGCCAGGCTATGATCATACGCTTTTTGTGCTAAACATTCAGACTATAAAATCTAAATCTTAGTTACAAACAAAGAACTGGAATAAGAACATACCTAATTCAATTCCAAGTTCTTAATGGGAAAAAATATCAATAGAAAAGAAGAAATAATGGTGAGATTAACTGATGCTTGTACATTTTTCAATGAAAGGTGAATTTTGCTTAAACTCCATTTTAGAAGAAGTTGATGTTCCTAAAATAACCATGGTGATTGCTGTAAACAGGTAAGTGGGTGTGGCTGGAATCACTTTGTTTTTCCATTCTTAAGTGTCAGACAAGTAAACTCAAAGTTTCAGAACTATAGCCTGAAGAAAAACCACTCTGAATCACCCCTTTTGTTTAATTAAAAAAGCAAATCCAAGCCCTAGCCCCCGAGATGCACAGCCAGCAATCTTGGTGAGGAATGTCATCATAATTGGCCTCACCTCTAGGGAGGAGAATTTTGGGAGGGAGGGCTGCAGGTTGGGTTTGTCTCCCGACACCACATCTCAAGGATATAAAAGCAGCACCAGAGCAGTGAGGGCACATACTTTCCTCTTCTTCACCAAGCCGAATAACTGACCCTAGCACCTTCCTGTGCTGCAGCTATGGCTACTTCCTTCATGCAGAGCTCTTCTTCTACCTATGGTGGTGGCTTTGGAGGTGGTGGAAGCAGCAGCTCTCGCCTTTCCTCGGTCCGAACCGTAGGAACCTGCCGAGCTCCGAGCATCCATGGAGGATCTGGTGGCCGGGGTGTCTCCATCTCTTCAGCTAGATATGTCTCCTCTGTAGGAGGTGGATACGGTGGTGGCTTGTGCTCTGGTTTTGGTAGTGGTTATGGAGGAGGCTACAGCAGCTTTGGTGGTGGTGCAGCCTGTGGCTTTGGTGGAGGAGCTGGCTTTGGTGGAGGGGCTGGCTTTGGTGGAGCTTTTGATGTTGGTAGTGGCTTTGGTGGTGGTGATGGCCTTCTCTCTGGCAACGAAAAGATAACTATGCAGAATCTGAATGACCGTCTGGCTTCGTACCTGGACAAGGTACGAGCACTGGAAGAGGCAAATTCAGATTTAGAAGTGAAGATCCGAGACTGGTATCAGAAGCAAGCGCCCACCAGCCCAGCCCGGGACTACAGTAATTATTACAAGATCATTGAAGATCTCCGAGACAAGGTATGACATTCAGATGTAGAGGAGTTACAAGAATGCAGTAAAGTTGTGGAACTGCATATTCCACTTCTTTAAAATAAGCTAAAATTATTACAAAATAAATACTGAATTCCCCAACTCCAAATAGATTTGGGTTACGAGCATTCTAGCAGAAGAGAGTCGCTTTTTCTCAATTCAAAAACCAAATATGTTATCCTGAAAATGTGATGTTTGTTGAAATTAAAGTAATTGCACTAAAAGTTAGCAAAACATGGCAAAATGTGTTTAGAATGATCAATACAGTTATTCAGTAATCAAACAGTAAAGAATGTGACAGGTAGGCCTCAAAGGCTGAAAACATAATTCTCCCAGCTACAGATAAGATCAGGTGTTGTACAAACATATTTTCCAATTATGTTTCTAATTTGTGTTACACAAAGCTGTCTATCTTGGGTCTCTGATCTGCATGTGGGATGTGGAAAAGAGCTCAGTGCTTTGGGTTTTTCTCTGTCAAAGGTGTAAGAATTACAGGGTGAGCAAAGAGTGACGTAACAAATTGAAATGCAATCCAAAAAGCATGTTTAACCAGTGCCATCACAACAGAGGTCCATTTTTTTCTGCCTTCATTGATGGTTTACATCCTCAGTAACTACCCAGGATGTGCTCAGGACCGTGATATTTCACCACTGTTCACAGGAACTTTTTCTGTGTTTCTGAATTGCCAGATCCTTGCAGCTACTATTGACAATTCCAGAGTCATCCTGGAGATCGACAATGCCAGGCTGGCTGCAGATGACTTCAGACTGAAGTAAGTTTACCTGGAACACATTTGTCTTCTCTCCCCTTGTCTCTCTCTCTCTCAAAACAGTTTTCTGAAGTTTAGTATTACTTTTTATCTAGAAAATAAGGCTCTCCAGTCACTAAAGGACATCTTTTGAAATTATGGATAGGCATTTTTCCTTGGTAACTCCTGATGAAAAAACACCTGGCAAACGGAATCTTGCAGTGATGTACCTGCAGGTTTGTGTTTTCTCCTCTAGTGCCCGAGGCAGAACTGGGCAACTTTTCTTCAAACCAAATCTGAGAGGACACTGCAAATGGACTGTCCTGTGTGACAACTTTTCTGTTGATGCTGCTAATCATTATTGGGTTTTGCAAAGTGAAATGTCATGTACTCCTTGAACAGAATCAGATGGCAATGCATGTACTTTCATATATCACAGTAGGATGTTTTTACTCCTTTATACTTCTTTTTAATAGATACATTTTCATTTATATCCCACTGTTCCTCCTACATTCAATATAAAATGTCATCGTTTTATAGCTCCACTCATACATATTCCTGTGCTTGTTTCTTTTTCAAACTGCAGATATGAGAATGAGTTGTTCCTGCGCCAGAGCGTGGAGTCCGACATCAACGGCCTGCGCAGAGTCCTGGATGAGCTGACCCTGTCCTGAGCTGACCTGGAGATGCAGATTGAAACACTCAAGGAGGAGCTGGCCTACCTCAAGAAGAACCATGAGGAGGTGAGAGTCTGTAACGGTGCAGAGAGGAAATTACTTCCCTTTGGAATTTATCCCTCTCGGGTAGGGAGGGGAAATCCAAATTAAAAAAAAAAAAAAAGAATTACAACATTACAGCTTAATGAGAAGAAAACTGTAATATTAAAAGAATCCAAAGTGTGTCCTGAGAAGCATTTCTCTGATTCCAAACTGTTCCAACCTATTGGTTTCAGTTTGACATTCGTAAGCCCGTGACAGGTCACTGAGATAGTTAAGCTGAGTAAAAGAAACCTACACCTAAGTTACACGTAGGTGTGTGAGTATATAGAGTAGAAAAGCATGTGTGATGAGAGGGGAAATTTGATAAACGTTTTTATGTGTGTTCCACCTGTGATACTTAATAATTACAGTATTGTGTACCACTGCATGGATTGCTGATGGCAGGAAGTACGTGAGAAGAGAGAGCCTAATCTTTTTTGTGTCCTTTGCCTTCTGCCCACGCAGGAAATGAAAGAGTATTCAAATCAGCTAACTGGAACAGTCAACGTGGAGATGGATGCGGCTCCTGGCATCGACCTGACCAAAATTCTCTCTGAGATGAGGGAACAGTACGAAGCTCTGGCTGAGAAGAACCGTAAAGATGCCGAGGCCTGGTTCTTCACTCAGGTACACTGATGCTCTGCCTCATCATTACTGCCCAGCAGATGGGATGAGCTCTCCCTTTTTCAAAAGAATTGTGAATAAATCTATGCAATATGCATGTGATTTTACAGTTGTTTTTTTCTTTCAGACGGATGAGCTGAACCGTGAAGTAGCCACCCACACACAGCAGATACAGACCAGCAAGTCAGAGATCACAGAACTGAGACGCACGGTCCAGGGCCTGGAGATTGAGCTCCAGTCGCAGCTCAGCATGGTATGGAGCGGTGCCAAGCACATCACAAGTCACTGCTAGCACTGTCCCCTTCCTCCCTCTCTATCTTGCCTCTCCTCAGACTCCCCCTGTGTGGGACAGATCCGCACACTAACCTATTCTGATGTGATTCCGCTTTAGAAAGCTGGGCTGGAAGCCAACCTGCGAGATACAGAAGGACGGTACTGCGCCCAGCTGGCACAGATCCAGGCCCTCATCACCAGCGTCGAGGAGCAACTGAGTGAACTTCGCTGCGACATGGAGCGTCAGAACCAGGAGTACCGAATGCTCATGGACATCAAAAGTCGCCTGGAGCAGGAAATCGCCACGTACCGCAAGTTGCTGGAGGGCCAGGACGCTCAGTATGTTACTATATGCAAATCCTGTGATGATTAGATAAGGTTAATAACATGACACATTGTAAAGCAGTAATTTGAGGTTGCCAATCTGACTCCAGATTACTAAATCACACTCACTGCATATGCAGCCTTTTGAGTACTGGCAGAACAGACGCCCGGCAAAGTCCCAGGCATTGCTGTAACTCCAGCTGACTCTCCAGATCAGTTGTGTTGGTGATTTGAAAATAGAAATGCAACCATTTTGTCTAGAAGGCACCATATGTGTCCTACATAAACCTCCTGTTGCACTGGAAGAATAGCCTTCAGCCTAATATTAGGGATATTCACTGTCATACACCAGTACTTTCAGGTAGAAAAGAACTCGGCACAGACCGCAGCTTACTGGAGCAAAAACCACCTTTTAGTGCCCATTTCTCATCTCTGATCTACACCTGGGATGACTTTTGATTTCCGAGGAGGAATCAGCTCCTTATATTGTTTCTAGATTATAACATTTTGAGAAGTATATAGAGACATATCAGGACCAAGACCTGGTCTGACCACTGTTCATACTTCCTACCGAGTGCACAGGAGTGGCCTTCAAAGCAGAAAACACCAATAACACTGGAGACAACCCACCGAGAAACACCCCCTGGAAGCAGCGGGGTGAAACCGCGGCTGTTCACACGCAGTGGCTCCTAAACGCACCACTGGTGTCAGTGGACAGGGTCGGGGATGGTCATTAATCAAACATTTCTTCTTTTCTACAGGTTGGCGGGAGTGATCCCTAAGGATGGTAAGAAAAATTTGGATTTAAAGAGGGGCTGAAATGAACTGACAAAATAGGATCTTTTTTGCTTAGAATTTCTTCTTACTAACACTGATCACGTTCTCTCTGCAATGACCACATTCTTTATCACTTAGCGAGAAAAATGTAAGACTTTATCTTATTTTATGTGCACTTTTGGAACCAGTAGCTTGCCAAAATGATTGCATGAACTCCTCCTGGGATTCTAAAATACAGAGACATCCCAAAGATTCCTAAATTCCTCTGCTGATTCACAGAACATACGAGATAAAATCCAGACCCAACATGTGATGTGCACTCTTGATTGACTGGATGTGGAGCAGTAGGGAGAGAAGATAAGATGTAAAGGCAGTTCCCCCTTTGATCTGTGAAAATATCTTGTGAGAAAGCAAACAAAACCCCATGGTACAGCTCTTCAGGTGTCAGAAGTGCTTTTTTTTTTTTCCCTAGCTGAATTTTTGGTTTTTTTCTCCTACAACAGCATCTCTGAGCACTGGAAGAGTTCACGTGACCCTGGAAGAAGAAGGAAAATCTGCTTCTACTCGTGAAAGAAGATTCTAGTCAAGAAATAGAGTCCTCTCTTGCGTTTGACAGCACCTGAAAGCAGCGCAGCCTGCAGTGGCCAACGCCAGGAGAAACAGCCTTTTCCTTTTGCCGAATCACAAGAATGTAATCCAAGAACGTGCAACAGTTTGATTTCTTGCCTCAGATTTGCTCTCCCTTTTCACAGGATCATTTGGCTCTATGGATCAGAGATTACAGGCTTGTTTTCTGTCCGTAGCTATTCAGCTTCCTTACCAAAGAACCAACAAAATAAAGTTTCTGTTCTGCTTGTGCAAATCCATCCAGTCTCAGGTTGTTTTTTCGCGGTCAGTCCGGCATTGCCATACACACGGCCAAACACCCTCCCTAGCGCAGTGCTTCCTGGAACCCAGCCCCAGAGATGCTGAGTGGGAAACAACAACCATAATAATTTGAATAATAATTAGAAAGATTATGAACAGACAGATATAAAGTGTCATTAGATTCTCCCAGGAATCTGAAGCCAGTATTGGTAAAAAACTGAGAAGATAATTTAAAGAATTCTTAAGCTCTTTGTTCTGAATTTAAAGTGTACAACATGACAACAATTCATGCATGAATAAAATGCACCTCTGAACAAACTTAATATTTCTCCACATATATATATATATATATTTATGTTCCTGCAGATCTTCCAGCAAAAAGGTGAAGTCCCCTTGCTCTGGAGGCAGCACTAGGCAAGGTCCAGGTGAAATGAACTGTTCAAGCTGAGTTTGCTGCAACTATTTTGGTTTTCCTACATAAGAAAGAACCCCAGCAGCCTGTAGCTGTTGTATTAGCAATGCTGCCTTTCCTCAGCAGTAAGTTAGTCTGCAAATCTACAGCAGAGAGCAGGAGCTGCAGAGTGATGCTTATAAAGATTTAAAAGGTTAATAAATCTCAACTTCAGAGGCACATGAAACATTTACATAAATGCTGCATTTTGCTAACATAACCTGTTTGGAAAATTTGCTGTTAGCCTCATCGCTGGGTATTTCAATCCACATAAGTGTACCTACAAGAATGATGGGATTTCTAGGACTATGTATTTTATTTTTCTTCCAACCTCCTCAGAGTCACTATTTTTCTCTCTTCTGTTTTCTGACATTTAAAAAACCCCACAGTGCTGGCAGCAGCCCCACAGTTTGGCCATGAAGGAGGCTGTGGCATCATTGATACCCCTGGTACTCACACACACCGCTCTTGCAGAGTCCAGCAATACACCACCACCATCTACCAGGAAAGAGAAACTGAACTGGACCAATTGTCTTTTTTCCTGATCCAGAAATGACTGTTATATGCAGCACTCAGAGAGCAAGAGAGAGAAATTCTGCAGCCAGAGGCAGCTCCCCATTTGTGTTTCAGAGGGAGAAGTTGAAGTGATGCTCACAGGACATTCACCTGTACAATGCAGCTGTCAGAATCCTCTGCCTGTATTTAAACTGCAGCCTACAAATTCGGGTCCGTTTGCTTTCCATGTTCCAGTTCAGTAAAACCAGTCCATTCCCAGTTAAAACACCTCAGGGCCCCGTGTCCCGCAGGTGCCGCCAGCTGGGGCCTGGCAGGTGCCCAGCGGACAGGGCGGCTCAGAGGCACCAGCCGATGGTGCCATCTGCTGACACGGGTTTCATTCCCTATGGGATCGTTGCTTTTGTGCTGTACTCTGCAGGTTCTGACTCCAAACAGGTCCCACGGTGCCAGCCTGACCAAGGAGAGCCACGGCTGCTTCTGAAGGAAGTTTTTTGGTCTTTTCCTCGGATCCTCAATGTGTGTTGATGAAAACTGTGTGGCATCTTTTCCAGATCGAAAAGGGTGAGCTCCAGAGGAAACATTTCCCGTGTGCCCCATCACCTTTGGTTTGTGCTATTTGCCAGAAGAAATGCAATTCTGTTTTTCCCGATGGCATGATATTCTGTGAGGCTATCAGGGAGTAAGACAGAGGCTGTTCTGTCACAAACTGTCAGCCTCACCGCCAGCCAAGCTGTGAATCTCACAGAGTAATTTCATGTGAAACAACGGATTCATTTTATTTCACATGATATTATGTACATGCATATATATTTGTATTTCAATGTAATATTCCATAGAACAGCTGCTTGCTGAACTGCCAAGGATAGAAGATCCAATCAGAAATTCATCTCTGGTGAGATGAGCTGAACAGCAGGATAGATATCATTGGTTCTGTTATAATTTGGGGTTTTTTTCCAAGTTAGGTCTTCATTTTTTGTTGGGTGCTTCAAGCTCTTCTCACTCTCAAGCAGCAGGGCTGATACCAAACTGTAGCTAATTAACAGAAGCTGTTATCAGAATATTTTGTGATAGCCATACTTACTGGAAAACTGCATCTTCAATGATTCATTTCCCAAACGATTAAAAATGTTAGCATTTCCAGACAATGAAGTGCATGAGGAATAAGAAGGAATATGGTAAAAATCGAACCAGCAGGTGCAGAGTCGAGCTGAGACAGAGCCACAAGGAGGAGCTCAACTCCTGCCCTGGTCCCAAAACAGCCTCAGAGGCTCCCAGGAGAGGGTGACAGGCAGCAGATCTTTATTACTGAAAAACTTCTAATGAAACAGAGAAAAAAGGTTCCTTCACCTTTCCTCCAGGACAGAGTCATTCTAGCTTGTACAGTCACTCCGACCCCTCCGTTCAGATCGAGGCACGGTGCTGAGACAGATCCTGTTCCAGAGCTGGGCCTTCAGCTGCTGTAAGGAAGAACAGCTGCACCATTTCCGAGAGAGCCCACGTCCGCTCGGCTTCCCACCTCTTCCACATCATCTTCCTCTATCCTGTCCCTCGGCTGTGGTCCAGAACTGCCCTGAAAGCCACAGGAACCCAATAACCCCAGCTGGTGCCATGGGAGTGTCACTATTTACCAGCCACTTATCAGCACGAGGAATAAGAAAATCTTTGCAAAGGCCAGACTGGCTCGTTCTATATTCGACACAAGAAGTTCGACAGGAGGTTATGAAACTGGAGACAGACTATTTTCGCATGTTTGCCAGCTCAATTTTAGGGCTGGTAGCTTTAAATACTCACTTGAATTTTTCAAGTGTTGTTACAAACTCATATTCTCAATATTTTCTATAGCTAAATATATTAATATCTTAATAGTATTAATACTAGTAACAGCAAGAAATTCCTGCATTACTGTCTATTTCAACAAGGTTATTGAAATATGACTGCACCTCGAATCATGAAAAAATCATAGAAAAGATTGTCAAGTACTTAATTCTTATGTGTTTCAACTGGAAATGGGCAGCTGAAGGGAATAGCTGGGCCTTACTCGCTTTGGACTGGAGTTTTAGTCCAAAGTCCAAGGGCAGAGGTTGGATAACTTCATTAAAGCCTCACATCTTATCCAGGCTGAGGCTGTTGGGTACGGCAGTGACAGCTGGATGGGACATGCTGCGTTTCAGGATTCAGAGGCTGCTGTAATTCTAAAGCCTGAGCATTGCCACAGAAGGAAGGTATCTTGAGAGACCCATCCCTGCCCCAGCACTCCATTTTTTCTGTAACAGACAGTACTCTTCCCCTCCTAAGCAGGAAAACATAAGATATTTACTACAGGGTTAGAAAACAGTCTGAGGCAGAGCTGATCCTGTTCCACACCTACTGATTTTAGCCACACCTCACTATTATAATATGAAAAGAAAAAGAAAAAAAACAAAAACCAAAACAACTAAAAGGAAAGCAATCCGGTATGTGGCTGCGATTCCAAACAACAACAACAGCGTGTGCAGGCTCATAAATGCTTCAGAATTGACCAAGAGGAAGCACGTTTCATGATGACACAATCTTGTTGCTGTAGTCATTCATCGAAGGGAAACTCCCACAGGAAAAGGCATAAAGCTGCTCAGGGAAGGCTAAGGAGCTGCTCAGTGCTAGGCAGTCAAACATTGGGTGAGATTCACACCAAGAGCTAAACATGAGTACCAGCCAAGGCCCTTTTCAATTTTTTTCTGGGTCCCTCAGGGGTAGTTCAGGGTGTGGTTTGGCCCAGCAAGGAACTTCTTACAGACCTTCAAGTGCAGATGGTGGTGCCAGCAGCACACATCCCTCTTTCTACTCTGCCAGACCCCTCTGGCTGGCTGCTGGAGGAGGGGCACCTTGGGGAGGCTTCGGCGAGCACCATGGGGAAAGCATCTTCCTGGGTGGGAATGAGAAACAGACTATGCAAAACCTGAATGACCGTTTGGCTGCCTACCTGGACAAGGTCCGCTCCTTAGAAGCAGCTAACGCTCAGCTGGAGAGCTGCATCCTAGAGTGGCACAAGACAAAGTCTCACGGAAAGAGACATGACTTCAACCAGTACGAGCAAAACGTCACTGACATGCAAAGACAGGTAAGTCAGAGCTGGAAGTGACTGTCATTCTGTGCCTTCTTAAGGAATCTGGGGACTCATTTCTGCTGGTGGCTTTCCTTTAAAGAAAGTTAAAGAAAACCTGTAAATGTTAGAAATACTAATGGAAGTGGTTACAGGACCTGGGCACAAACAGTCTTTGTGCTCACAAGGAGGAGAGTGGGGTAGAGGGAAGAAGGGCTGGAAGGAGACAAGGGGGATTCTGCACAGACTGGCAGTATGAAGAGCTCTGTCTGCTGCCGAGCGTTCGTTTCTGTACATGAAACTGTGGTTTGAGTAACTACGTCTGGCAGAATTTGGTCTTTTTGAGTGCACATGTATTCCAGCAAATTACAAACTGAAGAGACTGCCTTCTTTCATGCCTGCTGTCTTTAGACATACTGTGGCATTTCATTTCTTTGATTCCTGTGGTAGCAGGCAATGAAACTACAGGAGTGTTGGAACCAATGAGCTTATGTAATCAGATGGAAAAATACTTCATTGTAATTAAGAAAATAGCAGGGACAAATTCCTTGTGGATGTTTTCACTATAATTAAAAGGAGAATTTCTGGTTCCTGCCAGTAGTTAATATTAACGTTCAACAGTAACTCTTTCAATCTCCCAAACTCACGTGTCTTCAAATTTAAGCATAATATTAATCTGTATTCATAATGAACATGCCAAGCACTGTAACCATCTGTGTGACTAATCAGTGTAATTAACTTTACACAGGCATACGGGGCAAAAACCAAAGCCATTCCAAATGCAATGTCGCAGTTTTCCCTCCACTTTTTAGAATACAGTTATTTGATCCTCTCAAAACCCTGAGAAATTTTTCTGAAAAGGGTTTGGAAATGGTGTTATCCCACATCTCTGCTGATTGAGGCCAGGGGCTTAATCAAACTCCCTGCTCCCTGTCAAATGTGTTGCCTCCAGGCAGGAGATGAGGCACTCCGACCACAGCGCGTGTGGAGAGCCAGAACTGTCATCACCTATTTCTGTTTTAAGGATAACGAAAGGTCAGCCATCTCCAGAACTATCACTTGAGCACTTTTTTTTTTACTTAACTGATCCAGAGATAAAAACTTGTTCATCAAGAATATAAATGTGTTCACATTGATTTGGAATTAATAAATCAGAAAGATTTAGGAAGACAATAAGACTAAAAACATAACGCTGAGTGGGGTAAGGCCCTCACTTTTGACTAGGTTGTACCCAAAACACTCATTTTTAACACTCAGCACATAAACAGCCATCGCTGGCCACAGGCACCTGTTAGCCCAGTGGCTGTCTCAGCCAGTGAGCACTGAACATGCTGCTCACACTGGGCTGCTCAAGGATTATTTACAGGCAACAATCCAGTGATTTAACCCAGACTTTTTACTTTCTCTATAAATTATTGCAATTAGCACCATGACTGCCAGTCAAATGAGTGAAAATACAGCATATAATTATTAACCATAATTAAATTAATTAACCATTAATTAAAAAGGCAAAGCTAATTTAGCACCTAAAATGAAATACAGACAAAATTTAGGATCCTATAGCCAATTCCCAGAAAGTCTGTGATGCACTGGTTGTCTAAACTGGGAGGCACACAATCATTTGGGTCCTACCTTTTGGAGCACACTCTTCCCTGGATACCTGAATTCTGGATTAACATGCCAGAGGGAGCAGCAAGTTGCCCTGCTCCAGCCTGTCTCCATTCTAACCCAGGTACAAAGTAAAATAGCACCAGTTCTTCAGGGAAATGTCTCATCTTGTACCACTAAATAAGCAAACTGATTTACAGAGCATTCAAGGAGACAGGATCGATGCTGTTGGACAAAGGACACAAGATGTGCTGAGGAAGAGGTCAGTGCAGGAAGTCTTCTTGAAAAAAATCAGTTTTGAGAAGGAATTTTAGTGCATTTTGTATATAAGAAGATGTGGGCTCTTAATTAAACTATCTGTAAGTTTGTGGATTGATATTAGTGATGCATCCATATTCATGATGGATGCAGTGAAGAGCTCTGTATAATTATAAGCAGCTAAATGTCCACATTTGAAACGCACCGCTCACTGGCACAGCGCTCAGCGTCACAGGGCAGCTGACCAAACACTGACAGTCGTTCAGATCACTCACAGACAATCGTGGCACAGAGTTGAAGAGCTCAGATGTTGCTTTCTCATTGCCTATCACCTTCCATGGGAAAATTTACCATTCTTTAAGGATGGATTCAAGAATTTCCTCAACAAATTCCAGGCGGTGACACATTCTGGGTATTGTTATACTTCTTCAGCTGACCTTGATCATGGCCCAGGGCAGCATCCGAGGTGTGCTGCTAATTGCTCAAGAATCTCCAGTCTCCTAACGGATTAGTTAAAACATTCCACAGCCACCTTCTTTTTTCCTGTGAGAGGTAAACTTTGGACACTTCAGGACAATTTTGTCATTTCCTTGTTTCTTTGTGATTCACTGAGGTGTGGGAAATTTTACTTCAAGGTGCTGAGAACTCTGTAAATGGCTAATGATTTCTGGAGAGACATAAGGCACCTTGTTTTGCCCTGTAAGTGTTGAGTGAAGGCAGCTGCTGGAACTGCAGCCATGCTTCTCTTTCCTCTTTGTTAGGAAAGGACATGACGTCCCACAATTATTAGTTCCTGCTAATTATGTATGAGCTCCTGCTAGAATTCCTGCAAAGATTTCGAAGGGAATACTGAGCTGTTCATATTCAGATCTTTAGTTCAAAGCTGTTTCATGTTAACAGGAACTTCCAGGTCTTTTCAGTCCGTGCTGAGTACACTGCACGAATGATGCCCTGCACCTTTTAGGGCAATTTTCAACATCCCAAAGCAAAATCAGAAACATGAATTAATTGCTGCATGCTGCTGGATTCGGTACAGCTCCAGGTGAACAACTGAATGGACCAGGACGAGATGCCAGTGTCATTCTCAAAATGATGATCCCCGCGACTGCAGACTGAAGCACGTGGTGGACGTGAGGGGTCCTACTTTTTAGCATACAATTAATTCTAACATTTTGATTGTACTCAGACACAGTTTAATGGTTCTTACTGGAATTTGTTCTAAAGATGATCAAGGCTGCTTGTCCAGCAGTGTTAAACAGAATCACAATCAGTTCCCAAAAAAAGAGGAAGCCAGTGATTGTTATTCTGTAATATACCATGAAGTTTGTGTATTATTATTCATATCCTCTACCTGGCCATGAATAAGATGACCTCTCCTGCTTCATACCCAGAAAAGATAAGGAGAAAAGTAAGATTATGGACAAAAACTGCAGAAACATCTAAGTGAATCAGGAAACCAAGCTTCTTTTATTCATGTCCTCTCCTTAACATGGGACTTCTACTATTTAGATGCTTTCTACAAGCAGCAGGGAGTCTGAAACAGCACAGGTAATTCACCAGCATCATGTGGCAACACTGAGTCTCCTCTTGGATTCTCTGTTTTCCAGATTGAGGATGGCAAGATCACCAATGCCAGTATCCTTTTACAAATCGATAACGCCAGCATGGCATCGGAAGACTTCAGGCTCAAGTAAGTCTTCTTTGGTTTTCTGATTAAGTTTGAAAGAGGATTAAGGCTTTTTCTTGATAATCCAATATAAAACTGATTTTACTGGGGTTTTCTGGTGATACTGGATAAATAAAACCAATGCAGAACAGAAAAAAAAAATGATAAAAAGGATGTAAAAACCACAAATGATTGCTGAACAATCTTGAGTCACCTTGTTTATGATACTTTGTTCAGGTCCTGATGAGCAGGTTTTACAGCAGACACTTGATACCTGTGACAAAAGGCATTTCAAACTGTCATCTGGGAATACAAATTAACCCTTCTCTGCACTAGGCTTCCCTAGTCCAGCCCACATTGATTTCCTGTACTGATCACCTCCGCTGTCCAGCTCCACAGGACATACCTGTCCTCAGTATCTTCTGCTTTGGATTCTCCAAGTTTTGCCTCAGTAAATGGGCCAGTGCTTCCTCGGCTACCAGTACAGAGTTTGATTTTTCAGTGCATTGAAAGATAGTTCTCAAACCAACAAAAAAGCCAAAACGCTTGGACTGAAAACTTCCAGGCAGATCTTTGCAAAGGAAAGGAATTTACATTTCTGTAAGTCAGACTTCTTAGGAATTACGAAGATTTGTCTTATTTCCAACAGATGGTGATCAGCTATTAAAAAAATCTCTCAGCTTTTGGTAATACTGTAACCAACTTAAAGACTCAGAGCACTGGGTCTTACCTAGCCTTGCCTTTCCTTATTGTTGAGTTATAAAAAGGAAACAGTGGAACTACTTTGAGAGACTGGGATCTTAGAATGAGTCTGATGGATTGAATGTAGAAGCACCAATAGAGCACACAAAAAATGAAGTGAAGGGAGAGATTCTGAGGAGCAAAAGTGCTTCATATGCACAAGGGAAGATAAGGCAATGTCCTTCTGACTTTGGCTCTACAGATGGCAAACAGCAAGAGGTTAGAGAGGAATGTTAATAACTGGCTTCCGTGACATTTTTTGTTTTCTGAAGGACTGAAAAGTTATCATTTCAGAAAAACTACAGAAAACATTGATTGTTGGTATTGTTTTCACATCTTTATTGGCAATTTTTGAGAATCATATTCTCAAAGCTTACACAAGCTGGTGATTGAAATACAAAAAGGCAAATGAAAGAAAGCGATTATTTGATACCATGTAGGCAGAGTTGAGAGGAAGAAAGAAAAACAATAATGAAACCTATCTTACTTTTAAGACTATTCAAGAATACTCAAAGAATATACTTTAGAAATGGAATGTTTCCTTGTTTTTTTTCTCTATAGTTCCCTACATAGTGGACTTCTCTTTGACACTACTTATACAAGAGGCTAGAAGCAGTCTGTTCTCAACAAGCTTTATCTTCCTTTTCCTCATGAAGGTATGAAGCAGAGAAGTCTCGCAGGCAGGGAGTGCAGCTTGATGTTGAGAACCTGCGTAAGGAGCTCGATGGCCTGACCATTATTACAACAGATCTGGAAATGGAAATTGAAGGCTTGAGAGAAGAGCACATCCTCAGGAGGAAAGACCACGAGGAGGTAGAAAAAGTTCCACTTGGTAACATCCTATCACTCAAATCTGTGCTACCATGTAATTAACTTTGAGTAGGATCCACAATCTACTAATGGGATTGATGATCCAGAACCTCATCATGTTTCTAACAAAGCCACTGAGAGTCAGATGAGGCACAATACTTAATAATTGTCAAAAACCATGCTGCTCTGAATTCTTACAGTGGTCTCTGTTATTCCCACATATATTATACGTTTGACGACACGCTGTTTTCATTTTGCTTGATCTGATGTTGTTTTCGGTTATTACCTAATGCAGAACTAAACATCCTACTCAGTATCTGTGGATTATTCAAAAGGAAAAGAGAAACACAAGGGTTACCAGCAGTAGGTGAAGCTGTCTTTGGCTGGTCCCCTTCCAGCCCAGGACACTCCTGATCAGCCACAATCAAACAGTTCTTGGAAGCAGGGCAGCCCACGGGACATCAGTCTGTCCAGCTGATCTGCATTTTGGAGGCCGTGATGTCATACCCTGAAATGCTACTTTGCCTGGGAGCTTTTGAAAATGGTACCTAGCACACAGGATTGTGCTACACCAAAAGGAATGTTACCAAACCTGCTTGACTTGTCCTGTAATTATGTTGTTTACACACTAATTATATGCTTTAATCCAATTATTCCTTTAACAATTACATAGAACTTTTACATTACTCTCCTGTAAACTTAAGTTATAGTTCCATAAATATTAACATACAGGGTAAGAAAGATGAAATTACTGTTAGATTTTCATCAAAGGTTTTGGGTTTCTAATAGATAAATAAATGAAAAATGGCAGTACTTCTTCATTAAGCAGACATTTTCCAGAAACATTGTATGGAAAGATCTTCTCACATGATTTTTATTGAGTTCTCTAGCACAGTTCTGCCACAGAAGCAGATGTAAGTCACTGGTTTAAGTCATGGCATAGCATTATCCATATATCAAATTTCCAAATAGTGTTAACTGAGTATATATAACAGTTAATGAACCAGAATTAAAACAAATATTCTAGGTATTGCAAGAGGATGGAATTGAAGAAGACAAGACAGGAATGAAAACTTTCCACTTTCATAAACAAGTTTGCTTGTTTCCTCTGCTAATATATCAATAGGATATGGAAGCAAATCGCTCATCACAAGACTTTAAAGTCAATGTAAAAGTAAATGCAGCACCTCCTGAAGACCTAGCCAAGATTCTAGCAGAAATAAGAGAAGATTATGAAGCCATAATTGAAAAGAATCGTCAAAGCCTGGACAGTTGGTACAAAGAACAGGCAAGAGCTATTTTCTTCTCATTTCTAAGACCCCCGTGGCTGTACGTGGCTGGAATCAGTTAAGCTTTCCTCTGGCTTTTGCTCCACAGAGTGCAGCTATGTCCCTGGCAGCAACCCCCAGTCCAGAGCAGATCCAGCGCAATGAGAACGAGATCAAGGATCTAACGCGCACTTTGCAGTCGCTGGACATCGAGCTGCAGGCACAGATGAGTAAGGTACCTACTGCAGACAGCTCTGCTCACCGGCACTTCATGTATTCTCAGAAATTGTCGTGGACCAATTCCTCTTTTAGATCCATAGCCCAGCACAACTTTATTGTAGTTATTAAGTGTCAGTGAAATTGGAATTTGGCCCATGCTTGACTTTGCCAGAATATGCAAAATAGATTCAACAATTATCACCCATAAGTGAAAAATGCATGTGTCCTTAGAATAAAATATCGGGAGATGAAAAAGAAGACATGGGATAGCTGACTCCATGGGCTAGAAAGAAAAAATGTCCAGGAAGACAGACAGTAACACAAATTTCATCCTCAGAACCTCTACTCTAATGCAGTAAATATCTGAACTGTGAAAAATGTTGGTGTTTTAAAAAATGTTTTAAATGTTAAAAATGTTTTTAAATGTTTTAAAAACTATTCCTCAGCTCTTGTACAGGTTACAGGTGACACACCTGTGACTTGGAGACTCTGCAGCAATTCTGCACAGTAAATGCAAATCTGGCAAAAGATTCAGCAGTTACAGGGGCAGAGCTCTGGGGCAGCAAGGACACGGCAGGGACAGATTCCTCAGGTTTTGCCTCTTTTTATGCACACACAACACAGCTTCATGATTCTGCTGTCTTCACACTAACAGTCATTCAAATGCATCAGTGTTTCAATTACCACAGTCTTAATTTTGTCTCTTCTAGCTAGAGAGCAAATGTGCTGCCATTTCTGCACTATATCTACCACCTAAATAATAATCATGGTATTGGTATTATCTGCTCTGTCAGAAACACATGCTGGAAGACACCTTGGCTGACACTCGGAATTACTATGCTGTTGCGCTTCAAAACATGCAGCAGATCATCTCCAAATGTGAGAAAGAGCTAAGCCAGGTTCGTCATGACATTAAGCAGCAAAATAACCAATACAAGATTCTTCTTGGGATCAAAACCCGCCTGGAGAAAGAAATTTCCACTTACCGCCTGCTGCTGGAAGGGAATGTTGACAGGTAAGGCAAAGCCGCCCTGACTGGAATAGATGAGAAGAGAGTTCTCATATTTGGGTTATTTATTTGTTTGTTTATGCTTAATCAAAGCTTGTGAGTTCCATACTACATCAAGGGCTGGTATTTTAATGTGATGGATCATAATAAAAAGCTTGAGCCACTTAGTATACAGAGAAACTTGTACCCATGTAATTTGGATCACCTAAATTAATACAACTTTTTATTAAAAAAAAAAAAAGAAATTCTACATTCCCACAGCACGCCTGTCTCAGCACAGGAAAAATGCCAATTTCAGTAAAATTCATAGTAATTTCCAATAATCAAAACAAGTTCTTGATCAAAAAGAAGCCTGGAGACAAGTTTAGATCTTTTTTGGTCAGACATCTGCAGTTACAAGTCCCTCTGCTGCTGGGTTGTTCGGGTTCCCCATCTCTGCCTTCCCTGAAATCTCTGCGTTCAGAAATCTTTGGCCCTCTCTATTCTTTATTCTCTCACCTCATGTACAGAGCGTGTCTTGTTTATACAAGATCAGAAAGAGGAAGGTTAGCAGCCTTTATAACTGGAAATGTCAGGGAGGCAGGACAGTGTGGCACCAGCTACGGGGTCATTTGTCAGAGGCCAAAATGGGAACAACGTGAGTGACTCAGAATAAATAAGCAACAATGCAACTGTCCACAGTGGAAAAAATGATGAATGTGCACAGGGAGAGTGTGAGGTGAGAGTGTCTGTACCTAAGACTACCAAAGAGGAAAAGTTCTTGTGGTATAAAAGCGTTGTTCTTTTAAAAGTTTTATTTTTATTTTATCTCTTTTCATAGTGGCATGAGGTCTCCTTAGAATCAGCAAGAAGAAGGGGATTAATAACTTCTTGAAATTAGTATGATAATTTTTTTCTCTGTTTTATTATCTTTACAGTATAGCAAGAAAATCTGAATCAAAAGCTAAAGGTAAAAGTCCCTTATTTTATTCTCTATAGTGACCCTTAATTATTGTCGTTTCCAATCAGATTTTACTCAGAATAATTTTAACCTTACATGAGTGAGCTATGAAAGGTTTGCGTGGCAGTTAATTCTCGTGTAGGCCACATTTGAGAACAATTCCAGTGATTCATGGGTCTTGTGAAGGGCTGCACTTCAGAGCACATTCTGCTGCGTCTGCCCACTCGTGGACTGCCTTCAGATGACCTCTGTTAGCCAAACACGCTGTCCAAAGCCCAGACTCAAGGCTAAAGCTTTCATGGTGTCTGAGGAGGCATAGGACTCCATTTGGTGAGTAAAACAGCGTTAGGGCTTGAGAGCAAACAGAAAATCTGCATGTCTGGAAACTCCTTCTCTGGCATGAGCGTGACCTACAGACGTTCAGGTGAACCTGCTCTGAAGTTGGATTTGCATTGGCTGGCATGGAGCTGTATTATTCATTTGCCCTGACCTGGGCAAGACTCAGGGTGACTTTCTGGCAGCACATTTCACAAAGAACAATAATAAGTATTGACTTCAAGGGAAACATGTAAAGATAAATCAGTTGAGGAGGTAGCTGGTAAATGACTGTAAATAAAGCTTTCCCTGCATCATCTTGTCTCAGCATTGCTTTCTTCTTTCTTTCAGAATGTGCTGAGCTGAGCAATCGAAAGATCAAAGCAATTGTCCATGACAGTGTGAATGGGCAGGTGGTGTCCTCCACCATCAACGAGATCCACCAGCAAGCATGAAGCAGAAAGCTCTGCTAACTGCTGGCTTCCCAGCAGGCCAAACTCTGAGCACCCTTCTGTGCAACTACGTATGTTGGTCTCCCTGTGTGTAAAACAGGGACACACTATGGTGAACTTTCTCCTAAGATGATTTGCAGCCTAATAACCAAAAGTGCCATACGGAGCTAGCTACAGCTGATATTGTTAGTTTAAAGAACTTTTAGTCATCACAACGCCGAAGAAAAGCTACTCAATGAAAACGACTGCCTGAGCTGGTAATATATGTTCTGCACATCTCACTGGGGCATGAATCTCCATCTGTGATTCATTTATTGCTCTGCAAATAAACTATAATTTAAAGTGAATAATCTCAACTTTTCTCCTGGTTTATGTCTCTCATCATATACCTCACTGCAGCCAATAAATCCTTTTCCATTACTTGTTCTGGTTGTTGAAATTTATGATTTTGCTCTTTCATACATATGCAGCAGCCCGAAGTGGCAGTGTTACTGACACAGGTCAAGACTGCAAAAGCCTCTTTGTTTCAGGAGGTATAAAACTGGAAGGACCCAAAAAAGAAGAAAAGAGGTGACACAAGTTACAGGTGACATTTACATAGGCAAAACTATTAGGCTTCCCTATATATAAGTTTTCAATGTCACTGGTTAAAGCAGCATGATTGGTAGGAGTGTTATAAAGAAAACTTTGCTAAATACCCACCCTAGAAACATTTCTTTATTCTTCAGCTTTAGAAAAAAAAAATTTAACTGTCTTCACACACTTTCTTTCAAAGATATAAGTACTTCTGCAGATACTCTCATTCTGTCTCAGTGACCCATTTAATTAAAAAAATAAATAAATCAGTGATTTGCTTTCATATTAATGTTCACTGGTTTTGTGGATGGGATCTGTAGTCAGGACAGACCGGTACATGCAACGCACAGGGACGTACGGGGAGAGGCCCAAGTTCCTTATCCAAATCCAAGTTCCTTCCCCTTTCTCACATCAGCCCTGTCAGGGACTCAGCAGGAGACCCTAACAGCAATAGGAACATTTCCAGGGATATGCAGTGCTAAAAACTGAGCAAAAAAAGAGAGAAATATTATTAGGGCTGTTTAGAAGAGAAAGATTGTAAAGTAGAGTGAAGAAAGACAAAAAATGGAGCATAATGAATGCCTGTACAGATTTGCATTCCAAAGTGAACGTCTGCATATAAAAGAGGGAGCTCAGGACAGTCTCATCTTCATGAGCGAAATTGTCATTGTACTTTTTCATACCTACTCTTAAGGGACTTTCTTCCATAAAGGATTCCTGTTACCTGCATTGCTTTGAAACAAGGCTCACAAAAGAAAGTTAAAATTTCAAAGAAAATGCAGATTTAAAATAATCAAAGTCCATCTCTAGGATACAATGTTTTCTTACTGGCATGTTAGGACCAGTCCATGATTCCCCTTCTCCCCCCACAATTCTCCACCCTTGTTGCACAAAGAGATCCCAAAAGCATTGAATGGATTACCTAATTGTTTCTTTAAATTGGGTAAAACTTGTAATACAGGATTCGTAACTCTTGGCTAATTAACAATGTCCTTCCTTATGGCTTACCAGATCCAACAAGCCAGACCTGGTGTTTGTAGCATCTGGACAAAATGTGCCTCGGTTTTCTGGAACCATTTTCTGTGTTATTTAAAGCTATATTCATTTACCAGATTTACAGAGCATAATCACATTGCTGTGATACAAATAATTATAAATACTTCTAAGTAGCCTTCTATTTCTAAATCAAAGGGAAGTATCTCTGCTTTGTACTAGGTTTTGGTTGTGCTGAACTACAAGGAAAGAAGAAGGAGAAATGAATAATTGGAGTGCTTTACAGAACACGCCTGTCCTCACTTCACATTCTTGAGCAATGCACTGGTTTTAGTCGTGTCCCAGCGTCCTCTCACGCAGAGGTGAGAGATGCACTCCCTGCATTCCTGTGTTACACTCAGCTATGGTCCAAATGGCACTGCCTGAGACCAGTAAAGAAGAATTCACATTCCACTGGTGATTTTAACCTCCTCTTACAATGGTGGCATTGCATCCTGTAATGGTCAGACCAGTACAGCTACCCACACCGCGAGTGAACACATAGCTCACTCCATTTACTGACATCATCACACATCGATGGCTCCCACACATCCATTCAAGTCACTGTCTTTTAATAAGTGAAGCAAACCAATTAGTCCTTAAATATATAAATATTAGTTACACTAATACACTAATATTACACTAAAACATTCTGTTTTCTACATGAAAGCAACTATTCTATGGCAAAAATTGCTTATTTCTAGAAATTTTTTCATGGCTTTAGAATACAGTAGTATTTACTGTATTTACTTTAGTACAGTTGGAGATTTCCTTTTCGTGTCACCAACCGTATGTTGCCCTGTAACTAGTGCTTATTAATTATTTCTGATTTTGTGTTCTGGTAAATAAGCCATGCATTTCTAAATGTGTATAGGCTATGTCTGCACCCAAAATAATAATACCAATATTTACCACTTGCATGCACTGCTAACATTATATTCTCACAACATTCTGAGAGATGAAGTTAGGGAGATAATGAATGGGGCTGGTATTATCATTCCCATTTTAATGCTTGAGAAATCGGAAAAAGAGATGACACTGTTTGCTCAAGGCTGCAAAGACGGCGACTAAATTAGAATTCATCACTTCACAGCTTCTACTTACTCCAGCTATTAGATAATCCAACTTCCTCCAAGAGCCGTTCTGGAGTTGCAGCAATCCCCTCTGGGTCTGACTGCACCAAAGAGACAATTCGATGGATTCATTCAAGCGTGTCCCACCGGTCAAGACCCTGCACACACTTTGATGATGTTCTTCAATCTACGTGTGCCAACAACCCTACTAAAATCAGCCCCTGCAGAACACTCTGCCTGGGTGTCTGGTGATTCTGTAGTCTTTGGGAAACTTTAAAAAAGAGATGGCATATGTGCTTCTTTCTCTCATAGGTTGCCCAAGGAAGTTGTAGATGCCTCCTCCCTGGAAGAGTTGAAGGCCAGGTTGGATGAGGCTTTTAGCAACCTGGTCTAGTGGAAGGTGTCCCTGCTGCTGGCAGGGGGGTTGGGACTGGATGAGCTTTAAGGTCCCTTCCAACCCAAACCAGTCCATGATTCTATGATTCTCTTAGTCTCAGATCAGCGTCCTGAAGGAAAGCAAATCTTCAGGAGTGGGACACTGTATTGCTTTTAAAATTATTTTATTCATTCATTATATTAAAACTGATTGATCTCTGCTAGCTGGAATTTTTTCTACTCAGGATTAAGTACACACAGAAGTGCTGTTTCAACATGAAGAAAGTGACTGACCCGGGCCCAAAGAAACTGCAATTTAAAAAATTTGAAGTATCACAAAAAAATAACATACTCAAAATGAAGATATTCTATTTCCCATAAATGGAACAGGATAGCAAAAAACACCAGTAGGAGGTAATGTCATTTCTAAGTGTAAGCGAATGATGTAACAATACTTTTGTAAACTAACAAGACACAGGAACTCACAGTCTATAAAAGGAGGCTGAAACCATCAGCATTCACAAATCCCTTCTTGCAGTTTCACCTGCCATTTAAGGAAGTCCTGCACTAAATAATCCTCCAACGTGAGTTATAACAGACTTGAACACTCTCCAGAACGTGGATGAGTCACAGCTCATTTCACTTGTAGAAATGTTAAAACTTATTAAGGTATATTACCATCCGCAGCTTTGGTGGGTGAATTGTTGATCCTCTGGAGCAGGCTGCAGTGAGGTAATGCACCGGTGGTTTGTGCGATTAATCACACATTCTTTCTGCTGATGTGGCCACACATTGGCAGGTTTCTTTACTTATGAACAAGATATTTCTGTAGAATGCAAAATTTTTGCTTTCTGCCTGCCTTGTTAACACAGATGTAAAGTCAATGAATTCATTCCAGAAAGAGAAGAAAAGAAAATACAGCGTTTATAACGCTGCTAAAAGCACTGTTCACATGCTGTTATTGAAGCAGAGGGAACAGGTAGGAGAGCCGGTAAAACATTTCACAATGTCCACACCCTGACCTATAAAGGTTTCTACAGTTTTGCTGGGAGATGCTTGTTCCTGTGTATGAATCATTTAGAAAAGGGAAGGATCTATCAACAGGGAAGCAAGGAAAGAATAACGCTCGAGAGGCCTGCACCCCACCTGTCCTCCCCGCATCCGGAATTACACAGCAAAAACAGCTTAATTATTGACTTCGCTCGTACATTTGGGCTTCGTAAAATCACAAGTCAGTTTTTACTAGGTATTGCTTCCTCAGAATCCCTTCCACAGTGAAGTTTTTAATTCCAAGTTGTATTTTTAAAGATATTTTTAATAGTCTGACTATACTGAAATGACCTACTTGAGCCACACACACACATCTGGGGGTTGGCAGAAGAATTGTTGGCAGAAATATGACATTAAAGTGAAGCATCAGTTGGCAGTTTGGACGGCGCTCGTGGTACAAGCTGGCAGGTGACAGCACGAGGCACGAGCTAATGGTGACACAGGTGCCTGGCTGCTGCTTCTTCAGGACGTACTCATCTGCCTCCTGAAAGTCTGAATATGCATCAGAAGCTTAAAGGCATGAAATCAAAACACCAGTTGTGGTAAAGGCACTTTCAATAACTATCTAGACTTCAGGGGGAATTTTTTTTTTGCTTTCCGACGTCCTAAGGACCAGTCAAAAGGAGTTAATTTGATAGGCTGTTATTAGGCTCTAGAGAAAGCAACAAGAATCAGGAATATAATTTAATTAGAGAAAAATTGAATTCGATTTAGAGGAATAATTATTCGGAGCAGTCAGGGAAAAGTAGAAACAAACAAGCTGAAGCAGCTGACAAACTCTGCTGTACTTCTTGAAAAGTTAATAGTCTGCTACGTTCAGAGAAAAAGTACCAGCTTTGGCCCAGATCTACACCTCTGAATCATGCACACAAGAAATTAAAGCAGAAAATGCATAAAATAAAAACACTGGAAGCAACACTTGCCAGAGCAATTTCAAAGAAGGAAATATGTAATGTTGCTGCAAGTAGACAAAATTGTGATTTTCAAGTTACCAGTGCAGGAAAAAAAACACTTTTTCATTCCTTCTTAGTGAGAAAAATTATCAATTTTTGGAAGCCATTTCAGAGCCCAGGCCCTGTTTCTCTAGTTAATCTCAACACAGACCAGACTCAAGTCAGTTACCAAAACATTTTGTGAAGGGATGTGTTCCACCAGAAATAACACTGCTGCTGTGCAGAAAAAAACCATAAAAACAAATAGATATTTTCTTAACTGTCCATAGTTCATTGCTATCTAAAAATTAAGATACTCAAGGATCAGCCATAAAGAAAGGGGCATAATTTGAAGGGATAATGAACATTCCTGTCCTCACAAATTCATCTTTCAACATTCAGAAAGATAGATCATATTTGCTGCCATTGCTGACAAACTCCCTGCCGTACACAAACATTCAACTCTTGTAATTACAGGATGTGGCTGTGAAGATAAATATTACTTTAAACATTTGGCCACAAGAGTTGCGCAGAAAAATTTTTCCTCTGCATATGGGCCCAGGAAAGTGGGTAATGTGTGAAATTCTGTTATGTAAGGTGAATTTCATTAGCCACGCTCAGGTTCCAGCACGGATCTCCCCTTGCAGCAAATCCTGGGTAGCTCTGCAGACGGAACTCGGTTCAGAAGGCGTGTGGTGGCCTCTAGTGACAAACAGGCACATGCACACGATGCTGCTGCTCCACAGGGCATCTCAGTGGGACGGCTATGACCAAGCACGGCCACAGCAACCACGCCAAAGTCTCTGTGTAATGGCCATCCCTAGAAGTGCATCAGCTGCCATGGATTTCTGGCCTGTTTTCATTCTTTCAGGATGGTACTGGAAGAGATCTTCCACATTCAAATTCTTATGGCACAAAATCCAAACTGAGATCAGCAATGGAGTTACAGGGACTAACAAACGGGCCCTGGATTTCACTCTTAGAATGGAGCATCACTAAAGACTGAACTAAAAGACTCTTCTTTATTGAAATCTTTAAGTCAGCCAAAAGAAAAGCACATTTTCCACCTAAAGGCAGCATAAAAGTTGGGTGTGTCTTTTTCCCTTGAACTCTTAAGACTGGTTACCCATGACTGGTTAGTAAAGGTGACTAATACTAAATGGCAGGTACATGTTATCATAACCCTGCACAACTTATCTTCATTGCTCTCTAATATACATTCAACTTCTGTCACACAGGTGAGATTTCTTCAGGAAATCAAACAATTTATTGATGTTGCTATGAATGTTTGATGATGACTCCACACAAACCATGTCGACCAAGCACGGCACTGAAAGGAAGTGCTACACATGAATCCACAGACTGTCCTCCAGAGAGTATTCACAACCGAGTCCTCGGCTGGAAACTGCACCGTTGAACTAAAGCATCAGCAAAGTGTTAACAGCTCTTCTTTAACATTAATCACCCTGCAGCTATCGGGGAATATATTTTCAGGTTGCTCAACATCTATTTAGATAACTTCCTGTTACAACCAACCAACAAAAAAAAGATAATCCCTGGGCATAGTTCAAGAGGTGGAGAGGCTGATGACTGTTCCCAACTGAGCTGTACAGCTTTGGCCATGTGGGCCATGATGAGCCACTTGCCCTTTGGCCAGTCTCTGGGCCTTGCCTTTGTTGCATTTACTGGCACAGATACAGTCCTTGGTGTTCACTCTTTAGAGTTCAGAACAAAAGCTCAGAATTTTTTCTGTATCAGAGAATTTTATTTCTCTGTCAATCTGAAATGTCCTTTTCTGTTATTCTTACATTTCTAAATAGCATCCAGCTTCTGTAAATTTCAAACACCTGACATGAAGTTAACAACACAGCAATTAGCTTTTGATATTTAAACTATGTAGCTGCTTCTCCATAGAGAGGTGGGATAGTTGTGAATTGACCCACAAAAGCCAATCTAGACCTTCAATGACATCTTTTTGCATTTATAGGCAAACATGAAAGGTAACAACCTCTGCCGTTTGCTCAAAGCAGGATGTTTACTCTTAAATAGACTATCATAAAATACCATGAGAGATTCAGGCAGTGAAATACATAGCCAAGAGATGTAATGTAGCAGGATCTCTTGCTGTATTCCTCTTACAGCTCCAAAGGTGTAAGCTCTGCCCTACTAACACAATCGATTCTTACTCAGTCTGAATATTTTTAATGAACAAAAGATGACCCACCTTGAGTTTCTATAGTGACAGTCCCATTGACACAGCCAGTGTACTTTGGTTTCAACTGTCATAAATGGTCTGCATTAGCAGTTACACCCAAAGAAGTTCAAGGTCCAAAGATAATTCACAGCATCCTCTTGCAAAAAAGTTCTGCCCTCAGCGCTGATCGCTTTGGTTTGGAAGATGCATATTTTCAGAATGGCTAAGTACAGCAGCTTAACTCTTTGCCTTGATCCAATACTATTTAGACTAATCCATAGCACAGTAACTTAAATTCCCTAATATCCCAGGTTATGTGTTCTCAGAAACCTGAAGATGCTTCTAACACACAGTTTAATGCCTCCAAAGCTTAGTGTCTCACCAATTTCCTTGCCCCAAGGTGCAGATCAGCATGTACAGCAGCTGTTTCCACTAACACAAGCAACACGTGTTAATTGTTCTACCCGAATAGCTGTGCATTATTCATACACTAAAGCACTGTCAGTGCAGTGCCCCGAGGAGTTACACCTCCGTACTGCCCCAATGCACACCTGCTACCTGCTTCCCTGCAGCACCAAAAACCCCCTCAGCAATCGCGTTCTTCCCTTGCTTTGTTTTATCTCTGCATTCTCTCTATCAAAAGTATAAACCACAGTCAGTGTAGGAACCACGGTATGACTAGAAGTAGGATTGTTTGGTTTCTTCATACACTGCACAAAGGCAGTTGGTTTCCTGTTAATGAACATAACACCGGGGTTTGTGATGGAACACCCGGCACTGGACCTCGTTAGCTGGGAGCCTCTTTGTCCGGAACACTGAGAGGCAGGAGGGACACTTGTGCTTTAACTTCAGCCACACAGGAAGCTGGTTATGCTGGAAGCTTGATCTCAGCGACTCCTGTCGCTCGATGGACCTCAACATCTCATACACTAAATAAAGTGAGAACGGAGATTTCCAATATTCTTGTTCCTATGACTTTATTGATGGACAAGGCAACTCTCTTTCTGCTTAATTCCAACTGGATTGAAAGCTGGAGTTTAACTGGTAACGGTTTTCTAATACTAACCGAATGTGTAGCCAATGCAAGCTAAGTACATTAACATTCACCTTCCAGTGACAGTGTGACAATGGGGTTGTGCTTACTATAAAATGAATTAACATGGTAGCTACAGATCCCTCCTTTCTAATAATTTCTATGCTGTTCTAGACTGTCCGGAGGCCCAAACTGCTGCTTACTCAACAGAAATACAGACTTGATTGCAAATATAAATATTTTAAGTCTCTTGTCAGCTCTCATGTTCATTTCCTACAGTGCACATGGGGGTAAGAATCTGCTCGTTTGTTCACAAGGCCTATTGAGAGGATGGCAGCAGGTATACAGTTATCAATCATTCAACAGTTTATTTGTGTCTTGTCTTTTATTCAAAATAATAACAAAGCAAGCCCAACTACCTGGGGACTTTCTCTCAGACACAGAGGAACAAGTGAAAAGCCCTTTCCATTGTAGGGAGCGTGGGGGCAATATGCTGTGCTGTTTGTGCTGACACCAGTTACATTATGTGTCAACAGAGGTGGGGTTTGTAACTGTTGTGCTTCCTCTTTGAAACAGGGTATAAAGGTTCACAGCACACACGCTGCTCTCCACTTCAGCTGCTCTCTGTCTGTGCAGATTCAGCTCTTTCATTTCAGCAGACGAAGAACACAAATGGCATTTTCTAACCGAAGCTTTCAGTGGGGCACCAGCACCCGTGTCCAATCCATGGCACCCAGTGTCAGCGGTCTAACCTCCAGGAAAACGGCCATCCAGAAGATCCAGGCACCTAGTGTCTATGGGGGAGCTGGTGGCTACGGCACCCGCATATCTGCCAGCACCAGCCATGGCCAAGGCTTCGCTGGCAACTTCCAGCTTAACGTTACTGGTCACGATGCACTGCTCACCGGCAACGAAAAATCAACAATGCAAAATCTAAACGACCGCTTGGCTTCGTACCTGGAGAAGGTGCGTTCTCTAGAAAAGGCAAACTCCCTGATCGAAAAGCAGATCAAGGAGTGGTACGAGAAGAATACCACCGACGTAAGGCATGACTACAGCTCCTACTTTACAACAATTGAAGATCTCCAAAAAAAGGTAAGATATCATATAGCCATCTATAAATATATGAATTGCAATTATTGGAGAGATAAACAATGATCTATTGTAGAAAATGTACTTTTCCAAATTGCAATTGTCTCAGCTAAGAAAAATAAATGCTTTCTTCTGAGCAGATACAAATGAGTTACTATTGTATATATCTATTTTATGACAGGATAATTTGCCTTTCGGAAAACCCTAATTCCTTCCACGCACTTCAAAGGCAATTTAGCTTAAACTTAGATGACTAACAGACAGCTAAAGTTAAGCAAGACGAAGCCCACATGCAGTATTAATTTCCAGAAATGGATCAGGTGTGCATATGTGCAAAGACTCATCACTTTGCAACCATTCCTTTTCAGATTGGTGCTGCACAGTTGGACAACGCGAGGCTCGTCCTGCAGATTGACAATGCCAAACTGGCTGCTGATGATTTGAGACTGAAGTAAGTTCTGTGATCATTTCATAAATTCTCTTTCGTGCTCCTCTTCTTCATGAAACCTTCTAGTTATTGATATCAAAGCTGAGAAGTAAACATTTTCTAATGTAAAGTTTAATAAAAATTTTACAACTAAGGCCACAGTAGTTCCTGCTTCTATTACATCAAACAGTTGCATTCTCATGATGACAAAACAAGCCTTACTTTACAGGTATGAGAATGAACTTCTGCTCAGGCAAAGTGTCGAGAGTGACATTAACGGGCTGCTCGGAGTTCGTGATAACTTGACCTTGACGAATACTGATCTGGAGTCACAGATTGAAAGTGTGAATGAAGAACTCGCTTTTCTTAAGAAGAACCACGCGGAGGTGAGAGCAGCCAAACACTGTCAGGGAAATATTGGGTTTTTTAAGTGGCACACATAAACTCAGCCTCACTGGGAGTAACAAAATCTTCATGGTTATTCTGAAAGAATATTACATTTACAGTGGGACTCAGCTCCAGATTAGCACATCAAAATTTAGATACCCATTCCTATATGATCTATATGAATGCGCCTATGGTTCTGTTATAAGCAACTGAGAGACAGCCAATAAAACAGACATAGCCTGGAGAGTGACTGAGCTCACTGCAGAGCAAACACCCTGGTCACCTGGGACACTCTGGTCTCTGCTGGTTGTAAGAGGAGCTCTGGCTCATGCAGAGATACCTACAAGTTAGATGTGTGTACTCGGTGTCTCCTAGGAGTCTAAGCTCAAGCTGCACCTTACCTTTAGCATTATATTTATAGTTTCACAGACCTACAAAGGTAAGAATGCTACACAACTGTTGTTTATTTCCCCTTTACAAGTAAAGACACAAACTGAAATCCTAAATTCAAGATGACTGTTAACAAAATCTCAGTGATGGTATATGCCCAAGCTTTCCCCTTAGTGTCATACTATCGACTTCAAAAGTGTCAACTCCTTGTCACACCGCAGAAAATACGTTCTTTAAGTGCTGTATTAGAAAGATCCAATCTAGAAAAACAGTCAGCCTAGCCACCCACTTCACACTGTGCCGTGCAGGACTGAAGCACTGGTGTCATTTCTGCAAGCAGTATAACTGTGTGTGGCACTAACCCACAGCCAAGCTATCAGGCATCAAAAGCTGAACAGCTCCAGAAACTCAGAGAGAAGGTTTTCTTCAAGAATAATTTGCAGTTTAGGAGTTGTTACCTCACAAAAGTGTACAAATGTGAACCAAGGCTTCTACACTCACTCCACAGAGCTGGTCCTAAGGAAATCAGCTTTTTGTAAGTTTTTCTAGGATAGTTTACCTAGGATACAGCATTTATTGCTACAAAACAACTAAAATGTTCTAACACAAGGTGCACTAAACAAGGTGATTAAGTTATCTTGCCCTGTGCTATTTAAGAATTACTTCTATGCCTGTAGCTATTGAATTTGCTTCCAATCATCAGGATGGAAGTTCCCTGTAGCTGATGCTAACACAATCTCATTGCTGTAGGACGTTGACAGGCTGCGCAAACAGGTGGGCGGCTCAGTTAACGTAGAGGTGGATGCTGCTCCAAGTATTAATCTTGCAACTATTATGGAAAACATGAGACAGCAATATGAAGAACTGGCAGAAAAGAGCCGTCAAGAAGCCAAAGAACAGTTTGAGAAGCAGGTAAGGTCAATGACTTAAATATCAGCAAGAACCTCCGTCATGCCTAGCTGCAGCTTACAGCCCCTCAATTGCTGCATTTCAGACAGAAGAACTGAACCAGGAAGTAGCAATCAACGTGGAACTGCTGCAAACACAAAGGAGAGAGGTCACCGAGCAGAGACAGATCTTGAACAGTCTGGAGATAGAACTACAGTCTCAGTTTAACACGGTAAACAATAAAGAGTACTTGAAATAAGGACTGTGTTTAGTAGACAGTTACAAGGATAGATAGAGAAAATGAGAGGTTTTTCAATCAAAATTATATTTTAACACAAAATGTATCCTCTTGACAATAATACATCTCTGTTCTTGTCACCGGCTGTAGAAAAAGTCTTTAGAAGACACCCTGGCTGAAACTGAAGCACGCTACAGTTATCAGCTCACCCAAATACAGGAAGCAGTTGCCAAGTTAGAGGCTCAACTGAGGCAACTCCGAGCGGACATGGAGGGTCAGAACAACGAGTACAGTGTCCTGCTGGACATCAAGACTCGCTTGGAAATGGAGATCGCCACGTACCGCCGGCTGCTGGAAGGCGAGGACAGCGGGTGAGGAAACGCGCACACTTGGCTTCTCGGTGTAGTTTTGTATGACAGCAACGACGCTGCGAATACTGTCTATATTCACAGAGGGTGAAAGTGTAAAATCTGCCACTCTCCATCTGGCTGGGGGAGGCAGGGGAAGTCTCTTGCCCAGTTCTCAACTGCAGATTCAGAGCAGGCAGCAGTCTGTGCTCGGTTTCAGAAGCGGCTGTGGAAGTCAGTGAGTTTGTCTCTCTCAGTCTCTGCACAGGTACATACAGTTACCCTTTGTGAGCTGAGCAGATAGATTTTCACACTCCATAAGCATCAGTAGCTCAATTTTGGACCAACTTGTCCATAATTGTAATGACTGTGGCTTCTCCAGGCTCAGGAACTAGATTAGGCATATCTGCATGAGCTGAAGTTAGAGCACTGCAGACACGAGTCTGCAGATTAATTTCACCTATAGTCTATGGTTGGCAGGTTTTATTTTGACAGAGAAAACATTTAAACACCCGGTCAGATGTCTTGGTGAAAGGACATTACAAGTCTTGATTAAATGTACAGGAAACGTACAAGGATGCTTCTTCAATATGTTAGCACCATATATTTATATTTTTTTAATTTATAATTTGAACAGATCTTTCCAACTGGATGTATCTACAGCAGAGCTTGAAAAAGGTATGTCTCACCAATTTCCTTTATCTAGATGCCTTTCTCTATTTTCTCCTTGGTGGAACTGCTGCTAGTACTACAGCAACATTATTCTGTCAATATACATTGCATTTCATTAATTCCCTGTTCAATTTCATTACCAGAATCAAGTAAAGTTAAGAAGATCAAGACAATTGTTGAAGAGGTGGTTGATGGCAAGGTCGTCTCCTCTCAGATCAAAGAGATTGAAGAGAAGCTGTAAATGGCACAGAGTCTTAAAACTGCAGGAAAAAACTTGCTCAGTAAAAATTAGAAAGTCATATGACATTGCAGGAATTTACTACACCTTTTCAAATAATCTAAATTAAATGTATAAAAATCCTGAAGCAATGTTTACTGTTGAAGTTTCAAAGCACTAAGCTGGTGAAAGTCATTAGAGGCAGACGTGGGACAGAATTTGCCCATGTGCTTAACAAGCTCTGGATAGTGATGGACTCTTTTGAAAGCACTACAAGAACTTTTTCTTAATTTTTTCAGACAGTTCAACATCTGGTGCCTTAAGTTTTCTCACACTTTCAACATATTAATAAATGTAAAGTTTTTAGAAGAGAGCTGCTATTTCTGAAACCTTGACAGACACCTCATCAGAACTTGCCAAAAAAGAATTTACCAGATACAGATGACACACTCTCTATCAAATGTTAGTTCAACTGCAATCCAAGTTTAGCAATCTATTTTTTCTCTTATGTACTAGCACATTTAGAGTAGATCTGCTTTTAAAAATGCATTAAAATGTTGATTTTCTGAACTTGAAGTACCATTCAAATGTAATGCAGCTTCACTTTAGTAAAAACTAATTTTCAAATAAGAAGTGTCAATTTGCATTTCATAATAAATGAAAATGAATACATAAATTGAAGAAGACTATTTATTATATTTCACTTTAGATTTATATCATAAAAAGCACAAAATAAAGAAATAGTTTTCCTTATTTTGTTATAATAGCAAACTATTTAGAAGAAATAAGGGTTGGTTTTCAGCTCAAAAGTATAAACTGCTGGTCTAGGCTACGTATATTACACAGAGATGCTTCAATGACGAAAGGTTTAGGGCAGAAAACACAATTACAAATTATATTTCGGATAATCAAGTATATCTATGTTTTCATATCAATTATCAACCTGCAGATCACTCAATGTCCATATGCCTCTTCACACACATTTGTTAATCACTTTTCTTACTCCTTATTAAACACACAGGGAGTGTCCATCTGGCAGAAGTTCGTGCCAGAAGAGCATTATGAAAAGAAACCCATTTGTGACACGCACACTGGGCTGTGAAAGGGATCGCTCCACCGACTCCAGCGCTCTGTAATTACAGCCCCAAACCAAGAAAGCAACGAGTATGTAATGACAGAAAAATTATTTAGGAAGGATTTAAATGCGAAAAGAAATTTCCATGCTCCGCTGCACATTGCAAAAGATTCTCGTGATGTCTGAGCTCCACTCCACCCATGTCCCCTCGGACAGCAAACACCTGGAGGGCGTCAGATTTCCACTCCCGTTGGCAATTTAGATTGGCACATATCAGTTAGTTCCGTCAGGACACACTGAGCTGCCTTCCCCTCCAAACGAGAGAGAGAGGAAGGATTAATTAAAGATCTTCTGAGGAGGTGGGGACCACTGCTGGAACACCCACTGCTGGAACACCCACTGCTGGAACACCCACCGCCTTCCCCAGATAAAGGTTAAGCCGTTCTCTGCTCTGTCTGTGAGCCTTGTGGAACAGACCAGGGCGCTGGAGCACCATGGCCCTGTCTGTGCGCACAAGCGGGGGGTCCCGGCAATTCTCTTCTCGGAGTGGACTTGGCGGGGGGTCTCTGAGGATGCCCAGCACTAGTGGAGGAGGCTTTGGTGGCAGCGGACTTGGGTTTGGTGGTGGATCTGGAGCAGGTTTTGGTGCTGCTTCTATGCTTGGCTCAGGCTCTGGCTACAGCGGGGGTTTTGGGAGCAGCTCAGCTGGAGGCTTTGGCAGCAGCTTAAGCAGCGGCTTTGGGGGAGGCTTTGGTGGTGGTTTAGGTGGTGGCTATGGAAGTGGCTTAGGCAGCGCTTTTGGTGGAGGTTTAGGAAGTGGTTTTGGCAGTAGCTCAGGTGCTGGTTTTGGAGGTGGCTTTGGCAGTGGCTCAGGATCTGGTTTTGGAGGTGGTTTTGCCACTGCTGGTGCTGGGGATGGTGGTCTCCTTTCTGGCTCGAAAAAAGAAACTATGCAGAACCTCAATGACCGTCTGGCCGCTTATCTGGACAAAGTGCGATCTCTGGAGGACGCCAACACCGAGCTGGAGCGCAAAATCCGCGAGTGGTATGAGAAAAATGGCCCTGGCACCAGTATCCCTGGATCTGCAAACGACTACAGCAAATATTATCCTATAATTGAGGATCTGCGAACCAAGGTAGCAAAGCAATGTGCTTGAAGTATCTTTAAATTTGTAATCCACCTAATAAGATTTTGGATAAAAATAAATTCCTTTCAGAAACCAAGAGCAGATTTATTCTACAGTACCAACACCTGTAATAACCTCTGTCACCCTGCACAGGTACCATGGGTTGAATTTTTCTTGTGTATTAACTGCAGTTCTGTAGCTGCATCACACGATGCTGTCGCTTGGTCTAGGAGAAGATGGTGATGGAATCCAGTTCTACAAACTCTTGTAGATTACAAAGTTGAAATGTTAATAAGGTTCATATTTCTTACATGACAAATTCCTGAAACAGACCACCCAGCAAGGTCTTCAGAGATTATAAACTATCGAGTCATAGATGTGAACCGTATCCTGCCATTAGGTGAACCATGTGGATTTGCAGAAGCTGAAAATCTGTCCTACATATTTTCACAGTAAATTATACAAGAGTCTAACAAAATACACGTAATATTATAATTGTATTTGGGATTACAGTGATATAATTCTCTGAATGTTGTTGGGATTCCAGATCATTAATGCAACTATCGACAATGCAAGAATCATTCTGCAGGTCGATAATGCCAGACTGGCTGCTGATGATTTCAGACTGAAGTGAGTATATCTGAATATTACAACAACTCTTACTAATATTTTAAGGAAAAAAATCATTTGTACTTTAAAATCTCTTTCCTTGTAGAATACTTTAACATAATTATGAAACAATATTGTAACAATCAGGTGTATTAAGTTTTCATATTAAATGCCATATAAGTACAAAGTAATAGTTTGCATTTGACCTCACTGACCACGTAAAAAATTGTATTTAATTCCTTTCTTTACAGATATGAGAACGAAGTGGCCCTTCGCCAGAGCGTGGAAGCCGACATCAATGGTCTGCGCAGAGTTCTTGATGAGCTGACCTTGACAAGAGCTGATTTGGAGATGCAGATTGAAAGCCTGAATGAAGAGCTGGCTTATCTCAAGAAGAATCATGAAGAGGTACTTTTCTTTTTCTTCATAAATTCATAACAAGGCAGATGGAATTGTGAAATACCAAATTATTCCCTTATTTACGCCAGTGGGAGTTCCTCGGTTTCACTATTTGTTCTGTTTGCTGTTCTTTTTTGAGTTTACTAAGTGAAAGAAATACATACACGAGCTACAGAGTCTTGTTGAAACAGAATTTACATCACATATATTTCTTTACGTATATTTTTTGGTAGAATTATTTTGCCTTTTATTAACAGAAACTTTATTTTAAATCTCTCTAGGAGCTTCAGGGCATCCAAAGCAGTGCATGTGGCCAAGTCAGCGTTGAAATGGATGCTGCTCCAGGAACTGACCTGACCAAGCTCTTGAATGACATGAGGGGACAGTATGAAGTCATTGCTGAGCAAAATCGTAAAGAGGCTGAAGCATGGTTCAATGAAAAAGTAACCACCAGAGACCTCAAATTCCGTGAAACGCGTGTAAAAGTGAGTTAAACATTTGGAACAGCAAAATTACACCGTGCTCTTCCTTGTCATTTCAGAGTGGGGAGCTGAAAAGGGAAATCTCTACCCATACTGAGCAGCTGCAGTCAGGAAAGA